CTTAGAATTTTCTAAGTACTTTCCATTTTTACCCTTGATGGCCGTAACTTTCTGAATTTACAATTTTACCCCTGCTTAGGGTCAACCGCATAAAACCATCTCTTTGAGGCTTATAACTTAACCTTTGGTGTGTATCTAGCCTATTTTCTCTTTCTGAGCCTTTGAGACTTTACTGGAGCCTCTAACTTTGATTACACTTTAGACCCTTAAAACTTTCACGTTACAGTTTAGTCCCTGAAACTGCTTTAACTTCCTTTCTCATCTTTAGGACCTCTACTAAAAAGGGGTCTTGTAGCCTATCCCATTCAGGCTTTTTCTAGTACTTCTAGGCCCAAAAATTAGGATGTTACATAAGAAGGCGAAATGGGTCGAATTTAGTGAGTGGGTACTTTTTTTTAAAATTAAGATTTGATCTGGTTTGCTAATATGAGGACTTTACTGCAATGTAGGGAATTGTTTGCTGCAGTGAAGCTATCCTAAGAGGAGCTCTATTAAAATTTGTGAGGTTACCGTGACAAAGATGAATTGTGGCTGCAGCGAAAACATCCTGAATAGACACTGATGCACATCTTCCAATTAGGCCACGACACATAATGTTCTTGATCGCAGTGAAGCTTCTAGGGACAATATTTTGGCTTTTGTATTATGTAATCCTTTAGTCTCCAATCTTGGCTCTAATTCTGAAGTGTCCTACAATAAAAAGCAACAATTTGAAGCATTAATTGTCCTAGAAATCAATTGAATACAATTAATAACCAATTATGACAATTTTATCCTTAAAAAGACACTAACTTAAAGCAAAAACTCTTAATCTAAATCAAGCACAATTAACACTAAAAGAGCTACTAACCATAATAAAAGCCCTAAAAATGATATAAAATAACATAGGAGAATTAGACTCATTTACTAAGGCATTATGGAGGCTGATAGCTCTTGTTGAAGAAACGAAGGCGGTCCTTTTTTACTCGGAAGAATCGACTTTTAGTGTCCTTCATTACAACCTTCCCATGCTAGCATGTTGATAGAACTTTAAAGGGTCTAATTAATTTGGCCCGTTTCTTAGCTACTAGTGTCTAATAGGTAGACAGCAGACCCCATACTTCAGTACTAGTTTTAATCTTCATAGCCTCCTCAGGAGTTGATAGAAAAAGGCCTTCAGAGACCAGATCAATGATCTTAAAGCAGTTAATCTAGAAGGGAGGGAAAGTGGTGGAGGGTGTCTTAATTTTCTCCTCCTTTAAATAGGACATGGGAGACACAGGCTCCTTGCTCTCCTCCTCAAAATCCACTTTGTCACTATCTATAGCAGCAACCACTATCTCTTGATAAGCTCCCTCAGTTAAGGATGTAAAGATGGTAGAGTGGATAGCAATTGGAGCTGCAACAAGTCCATGCACAGCATTCAGGGCAGGCAACTCCCTGAAAAGGTTGAAATGTTTTTTCTCCTTGGAAGTCTTTTATGCTCTACTAACACCTGTAATAGCATCAGAAACAAAGCCTTTGTTGAGCTTATAAGGGTTAATAGAAGACTTCTTATCACACCTTCTTAGTTACCTCATTATATATCAATTGGAACCATTTAAAGTCATTTCCCAAAGCTTAGGAATGGAAAATTTTTCATTTTAAATTTTTAAATTTCAGATTTTCATACACTATTCAATGAATTCTGGCCCAACTTTGAAAATTCACTTAAAGCTTTCCATGAGTTCTTTAAGGGGAAAATACTCATTGGCCTTGATTCCGTTAGAAACAACACCAAAAAATTTGAAAAATGCTTTGTTCATATAGTAAATTTTTGAATTTTCAGTATTTTAGCCCAACTTTGAAAAGGCATAACTCTTAGCATAAAACTCTAAATTTAATGATTTACCTTTAAAGTCATTTCCCAAAGCTTAATGAAGTTAATAGAATAATTCTGTATATCTTATTATTGAATGAGAAGGAATACATCATATATATAACCGAACTAAAGATAAGATACTGCTATCTATCCTATCTAATCTAATACGGAAAAGATAAATGAGTAACTGAAAAACTAATTAATAAGTAAAACTAAGTTTATTTGGCTTGGGCCTTGGGCTTTGTCTTTCAACACTCCCCTTCAAGCTGGAGAATAAATGTTGACCATTCCCAGCTTGCTCTTTAGTCCTTCAAATGAATCTCTTGGTAATGGCTTAGTGAGTAAATCTGCTACTTGACTTTTGGTTCCGATGTAGGACAATTTGATGTTGCCTTCTTCAATTTTCTCCCTGATGAAGTGTCTATCAATTTCAACATGTTTTGTCCTGTCATGATGAACAGGGTTTCTAGCCATGTCTATAGCTGACTTATTATCACACCATAGTTTCATCGGTGCATTGTGCATAAGTCTCAGTTCTTTTAGAACTCTGATTATCCAGATCCCTTCACAGACTCCGAGAGCCAAGGCCCTTAGTTCTGCTTCAGCACTACTCCTAGAGACCACGGGTTGCTTTTTACTTCGCCAAGTCACTAGGTTGCCCCACAAGAAAGTAGTATACCCTGTGGTGGATCTTCTATCCAACCACGATCTTCCATGGTCTGCATCAGTATAAATTTCTATACTTCTAGACCCATCCTTTCCAAAAAACAATCCCTTTCCTGGATTCATTTTTAAGTAGTGCAGAATTCTCTGGACAGCTTCCATATGATGCTCTTGGGGTTTATTCATGAATTGACTTACTACCCCTACAGCATAACTTATATCTGGACGAGTATGAGCTAAGTAGATAAGTTTTCCTACTAGCCTTTGATACCTTCCTGTGTCGACAGGTATACCATCCGCTTTGTATTCTAAGTTGCAGTCTGCCTCCATGGGAGTTTCTGCAGGTTTGGCTCCAAGCATCCCAGTTTCTTGCAGTAAATCAAGAGTATACTTCCTCTGGGAAACACTAATTCCCTTTTTAGATCTAGCGATTTCCATCCCGAGAAAATATCTTAGTTGTCCAAGATCCTTCATCTCAAACTCAGTTGCTAAGGATTTCTTCAATCTTCTTATGGCATCCTCGTCATTTCCTGTAATTACAATATCATCCACATATACTATAAGGACAGTTATTCGGTTTCCTGCATGCCTTATGAACAGGGTATGATCTGATTGGCCTTGTGTGTATCCCATTTTTTTCATGGTACGAGAAAATCTCCCGAACCAAGCTCGAGGGGATTGTTTCAGCCCATACAACGACTTCTGCAGTTTACAAACCTTTGAAGAACTATTACTGGAATTCTGTAATCCAGCTGGTATCTCCATATATACTTCCTCTTCGAGATCCCCATTTAGAAAAGCGTTTTTTACATCTAGCTGGTAGAGAGGCCACTCTAGATTTGCTGCTACTGATAGGAGAACCTTAATGGTGTTAAGTTTTGCTACTGGGGCAAAGGTTTCCTGATAGTCAATTCCGTAGGACTGTGTATATCCCCGGGCTACAAGCCTGGCCTTATACTTACTTATGCTTCCATCTGGATTGTATTTTATAGTAAACACCCATCTGCAACCCACTGTCTTCTTTCCTGGGGGTAGATCAGTGATTTCCCATGTTCTGTTTTTCTTCAAAGCTTCCAATTCTTCTTTAACAGCCTGCTTCCAATTTGGGTTCTCGATTGCCTCATGGAATGTCCTTGGTATCCTCTCATTTGAGAGATTTGTAGTAAATGCCTGCATTCTCGGTGATAATTTATCATATGAAACAAATTTGCTAATTGGATGCTGAGTACAAGATCTCACACCTTTTCTGAGAGCAATAGGCCAACCGAGATCATCAGGATTTAACATTGAGTCAGAGTCCTGGTCATGCCTTGGAATGGGAGGGACTCTAGTTTCTTGTTGCTCTTCTACATCATCTGACTCTGCGTTTTGCTGCTGGTCCACCCTTATGTTATTTTCCGCACTGGTTCCCAAGTTGGTGTGGTTAGGTTGAGAGTTTTGGTGTTGTGGGATTGTTGATTCAAGGTTGTCTATTGGCTCAGGTTCAGGGACAATAGGTGAATTAGTAGGGATATCGATGTTTAGGTGTGTTGAATCTGGAGTTAGCCATTCGTTAATGTCATAATTCTCCCCCTGAATGGGTATTTTGGGATAATAAGCATCGGCCTCAGAAAAAACAGCATCTTTAGTGACATAGACCCTTTTTGTTGTCGGGTGATAACATCGATATCCTTTTTGAGATGGGGAATAACCAAGAAAGATACATTTTAATGCTCGGGGCTCAAGCTTGTTACCATCATTATGGTGTATGTATACTACACAGCCAAATACTCTCAAGGGAATGTCTGAGACTAAGGGTGAACTGGGGTAGGTTGCAAGCAATTTTTGTATAGGGGTTTTGTAGTCTAGGACTCTTGAGGGCATTCGATTGATCAAGTAGGTTGCAGTGAGAATAGCTTCTCCCCAGAATGAGTTTGGAACATTTCGGGCAATCATAATGGCTCGAGTTATTTCTAGGAGGTGTCGGTTTTTTCTCTCGGCAATCCCATTTTGTTGGGGTGTGTAAGTACATGAGGTTTGATGGTGGATTCCCTGTTGATCAAGGAATTCCTTAAAGGCTGTACTAAGGTATTCTCGTCCATTGTCACTTCGTAATATTCTAATTACCCCTTGAAACTGAGTTTTTATAAATGCGTGGAAGCTTTTGAAAACTCTAAGAATTTCAGATTTTTCTTTCATCAAGTATACCCAAGTCACTCGAGTGTGGTCATCAATAAAGGTCACAAACCACCTAGCATTAGAAGTTGATTTAATTCTTGTGGGTCCCCAAATGTCACTGTGTATTAGGGTGAATGGTGATGTTGGTTTATAAGATTGTTTAGGATAGGAGGTTCTTGTTTGTTTGGCAAGTTGACAGGTTTCACACAAAAAGGGAGCTAAATTCTTATTAAATAAGTCTGGAAACAAGTGCTTCATATAATCAAAATTGGGGTGGCCTAGCCTAGAGTGCCATAGTAATACATCTTTATTCAAGGAATCTGAACTAAATAATGCCTTGCTCACATATTTATCTGTGCCTTCAAGATAATAGAGTCCATCCCATTCCTTAGCAACGCCAATCCTCCTCTTCGCTGTCAAATCCTGAAAAACGCAACCAACATCGTCAAAGATCACTCTACATTGATGACTCTTAGTTACTTTGCTTACTGAAAGCAAATTACATGCCAGTTCTGGAACAAATAAAACATTCTGCAGCTCTAATTTCTCAAAAATTTTGACAGTTCCAACACCACAAACTTTGGAAAATATTCCATTTGCAACTTTCACCTTTAGGTTCTCGTGGTGACAATACTTTAAGGTTTGGAATAAAGATTTGTTACCGGTCATATGATCTGTAGCTCCTGAGTCAACGATCCAAGTATTATCATTGGTCATTATGGCATTTAGAGCTATGATAGAATTACCTGACTTTACCAGATTCGCCTTTGGAGTTACAGATGAGTTATTGTGTCTCTCAAGGATCCGTTTGAGTACTTGTAATTCTTCCCGGCTTAAGGTTTCTCCATTCTTCTCCTCATCTACTACTGCAGAATAGCTCCTGCTTTCAGGTCTTCTTCTTTGTTTTAGATTAGCTGGTTTGCCATGCAGCTTCCAGCATATGTCCCTGGTATGACCATTTTTGTTGCAATGATCACACCAGCCTTTTGAATTCTTCTTTCCTCTTGGTTCAGGTACATTACTGCCTTGTACTGTCAAGGCAGAGTTTTCTGATGGTGTAAATATATTCTGAGTGAGTTGCTTCCTGCTCTCTTCACATTTTACCATGTTGAATGCTTCAAATAACGATGGCAGCTGCTTTAATCCCATGATTCTTCCTCTCACGTCTTCAAATGCATCTATCAGGCCGAGCAGAAATTCATAGGTCCTCTCTTTCTCAACTATTTTTCTATATAATTGAGCATCATCACTGCAACTCCATTCATGGATATCAAACATATCCAGCTGCTGCCACAGGCGTGTAAGGGCAGTATAATACTGAGTTACAGTCATAGAACCCTGTTTTAGCTCTTTTTGTAGTCTCTTAATATGAAATAGTGCTGCAGTGTTGTCTATGGCAGAATAGGTTCTTCTTGCTGCGTCCCATATCTCCTTTGCTGTCTTAGCAAGTAGGTAGCCTTCACTAATCTCTACGGTCATCGAGTTACACAGCCAAGTCATTACAAGGTTGTTCTCAGCAAACCATGTATTATAATTACTGTCACCAGGTTTTGGCTGTGGGGCTTCTCCCGTGATGTATTCTTCCTTCCTTCTTCCTCTCAAATACATGAGAACGCTTTGAGACCATTGTAAGTAATTGCTTCCATTCAGTTTATGGGCAATTATCATTTGTTGTGTCTCAGCGGAAGAGACCGGTTCTGTTCCCATCGGAGATGATGTAGACGAAGAGGAAGCAGATTGTTGTGATATTATACCTGCTGTAAGAGCCGAGGGTGGCGGGTTTGGGTTACCTCCGGATCGTCTCATTGATCCGAACAAGGGTGGAAGTTCCTCCATCGTCGTCTGCGTCCGACTCGTGTAACCAGTTCTTCAAGTCGCGACTCGTGTAACTGGTTCCTGGTCGTTGGTACGCGTCTCTGAATCGCCGAGTAGTTTCAGGTCACTGGTACGCGTCTCCGAATCGCCGAGTAGTTTCAGGTCGCTGGTACGTGTCTTCTGAATCGTCGAGTACTTCTGGTCGCAAGGAGGCTTCTGGTCGCAAGTTCACATCTCTGAGTCGCCGAGTATCTCTGGTCGTAGGCTCACATCTCCGAGTCGCCGAGTTCCTCTGGTCGCAAGTTCTCGTCTCCAAGTCGCCGAATATCTCTGGTCGCAAGGAGGCTTCTGGTCACCGGTTCACGTTTCTGGGTCGTCGAGTACCTCTGGTTGCAAGGAGGCTTCACGTAACTTTACCAGATCGTGAAGAACAGGGCCGAATTTGCACCCGCTCTGATACCATGAAGTTAATAGAATAATTCTGTATATCTTATTATTGAATGAGAAGGAATACATCATATATATAACCGAACTAAAGATAAGATACTGCTATCTATCCTATCTAATCTAATACGGAAAAGATAAATGAGTAACTGAAAAACTAATTAATAAGTAAAACTAAGTTTATTTGGCTTGGGCCTTGGGCTTTGTCTTTCAACACTTAAGAATGAAAAATTTTCAATTTCAAATTTTCTAATTTTGGATTTTTATACACTATTCACAGAATTCTAGGCCAACTTTGAAAATTCATAAGGAGTGGTTTCAATTTTCACTTAAAGCTTACCATGAGTTCTTTAAGGAAAAAATACTCATTGGCCTTGATTCCATCTGAAACAACACTAGAAATTTTGAAAAATACTCTATTCATATGATAAATTTTGGAATTTTCAGTATTTCAACCCAACTTTGGAAGGACATAACTCTTAGCACAAAACTTCAAATTTAATGGTTTACTGCTTGTTTTTAAGCTAAAAATGAGATCTATGTGCCTATAAAATTTGAGGTTCAGATTCCACCATTTGCTTATTAGTTTATGTACCATAAGATTGGGACTGTTTAGGGAAATTTTATCCCCTAATCCCATTTTTCTTGAATTTTATTTCCTTTTTCCTTTTACCATACCTTTTAGACATTCCATCATTTATAATTTCAGCATTTGGGCACATTATACCAATATGGATACAATATAATATTATCCAAGATCCATAATAAAATTGACATAAAGTGCGTCAAAACATTACATAATATTTCCTAATGTTATGGAACCATAAAGCTCCTTCATTCCAACAACATTTCTTTGCCTTGGTCCATGGATGAGCGACCCCCTAATTAATTCATGAATTGACATAGGAGGAATGAGATTTTATAAAAATCTCAGTAGCAATGAATTATAATTCTCATGTTCATCGAGCAAAGAGTAATATGTCATGTAATAGCACTTCAAGACATCCTCAAGTCATGCAATTTCATACTATGCATTCAATCAAAAGAGGAGTCAAACACACTTTCACATTAACATGTTATCATGCATTTGGCCAAAGCACATCAAGTATCATCAAATCAACCATTCCTCCACATAGATTCCTCAAAGCAAAGCAATTAACACAACACATTAAACAAACAAGATAAACAATCAAATTATAAATTCAATGCTACCTTTCATACTTGATAGGTTTCGGCCTGCTTGGGACAATTAATCTCCCCTTGTATTCTCCTCATAAAACCTATCAATTCAAGTATAATCGTAACCCACATTAACAATCATACAACTTAAATGCAACACTTTAACCTTAACCAACATAATTTTCCGTTTTTTCTTTGATTTTTAACAATTTTATTCCTCTTTTACATTCCATAATCTATTGGCTCAATCCTACACAATTTTTCATGAGGAATTCAAATATCTAATCAGATTTTTAAGAATCAAACTCCTTCCCTCTAAATCTGCCATGGTTGAATAGGTGTATATAGTTTTCAAAAATTTTATTTTTGATTCTAATGATTTTAAACACTTCCCTTTAGTATATTCCTACACAAAACCATATTTTAAATCCATTGGAATCATCAAATTACAGTAAAACAAGTTGCTGCGTCAAGTTCCCACTTTGGCTGAATTCATATATATAAACCCTAGGTTGGTTTTCTTCTAAAAACCAATCCATATGCCACTTAAACAAACTTATTCTACTTCATTATTAATATTTCTATCCTTCCCTAAAGGTCATATGTTCATATCAAAAAGGTGCAACAATTCCCCTTAAGTTTTCATGCCAAAAACCTGACCAAAACTAGCTTGAATCTTAACTATAACAAGGCTTGAACATACCTTGATGTTTTCTTGACAAAAGCTAGATGATTTCTTGCCCGGACTCCTGAAGAACTTTGGTTTATAGGTCAAGTTTCCAAATTAGCAACACCGCCCTTTAGTTTTCCAATTTTTCCTGCCATTTTCATGTATTTTGAGGGGGAATTTATAGGAAAAAGTTTTCTGCCATCCCCCCTCCATTTGGATGACCAAGCTACCACTAAAGGGGGTACTTGGCAGCCATCAACAACAAGAAGCATTCAAATTGATCCAAGTGTGCATTTACTAGAATTTTTCATGATTTATCCATAAAAATTGGATTTTATTTTAATTAATTCAAAGTGTCTAGAGAAATCACAAAATTGGGCTTCATTCCAAGCCTAACATGGGCCCCACACATGGTTTAGGATGGCAAAAAAAGATGGTCCACAAACCAAATCACAATCCCAAGCCATTTTGAAACTTTATCAGTTATTATTCACTAGTAACATTCCATAATTTTTCTAAACCTCCAAAAATTCATTTCTCTCCATAGAAAAACCCTTTTTCATATAAGGATATGATCTAGAAATTTTCAAAATTTTTCTCCACTATTAACTATTTATATTGAACTTTTCCCGATTAGGCCTTTATCAGTGTAATTGTAGGAAAATAAATTCCCTAAAATTGATTCCTGAGCTTCCAAGGCTGAAAACTAATTTTATAAATTCAAAAAATATTTATATGGTTTTTTCATATTTTTTTAGAATTATTGAGGCCTCTAACTAATTAAAATAATTATTTTTTTTCTGATTTTCTAATATTTTCCCAAAAACCTTCGTTTGTGGAAAATTTTATAACAATTTATTTTTATAATAATTCCACCTTTCAGGCCTCAACCAAGATTCTAAAACCTCTAATTTATATTTTTCCCATTTTTTGGAAATTTTTTGGAATTTTTTCAAAATTTCCCGTTTCACGCTTCTTAAACCGATAATTATGAAAATATTAGCCTAGACGTTATTAGAAATTCACATCAAAAGTAGTTTTGTCTCCCAGTTTAGTATTTACATTAGCCCTCATCTCAATTTTTAACTTCCTATGTCCAGATGCAATTTTCTTTGGATGTGACAATGCCGAGAGGGAAAATCTAGAAATAAACTTGCTTCGCCACGGTAAAACCAAAAGTTGACCACGACGAAGTATGGCCGAGAGGCAAAAAGGGTGGAAAATGGAGCACTTTGGCATAGCGAAACACAAGTTGGCCGCAGTGAAAGTGGGCAGTATTGTGGAAAAAGTGGCAAACTGCAATGCGATTTCAAACTTCCCTGGAAACTAAGTTCAAAATGTTAAAAATGCACACAAATGATCTGTTCCAAAACAACTAAGGGGCCAAAACAATGCATGAAGAAACATTTGCTGAAATCCAAAATGGAGATCCCTCCCCCATACTTAAACATAACATTGTCCTCAATGTTTAAACCAATACAGTTCAAACCAATCATAAAGTGAACAGGAAGTTGTGAAGTCCAATTCAAAATTGAAGCATGACATATCGAATTCACGAAAGAAGGGAAAGGGGTAAAGGAGTACAGGCAAAACATAAAGGATAAGTGAAATAGAGTAGAGATCAAAGCAAGTGCAAAGATAACAACAAAGCAAGGAGGCCATCAGTAGCCATCCAGTTAAACCAAGCATCCATATAAGCAAGTTTGAAGTAATGAAAGCAATAGAAAAGCTTAATCAAGTATCCAACAACTCTGACTTAAAGGACAAAACAAAAACAATAAAACTAGTGAAAACAAAAAGATTGCTGCTGCATAGTAGGGTCACCTGCCCTACACCTAGATGGTCCTGTCCCATAAGTGCCTACCCTAGACATGCCAGCATCGCTTATCAGTTTATCCTCTTCAAAGAGTAATTGGAATTGTAAGCGTTAAGCGATCAAAGCATCCACATGACATCGATAATGCCGGTCTTGATCATACATAGCATCTGTATCCTTTTGCCGCTTCATCTCTTGGAGGAGGGTGACACGCAACTAGTGGATATCCTCAGCAAGTCCATCAATATCATCAGCCAAGGTGTCTAAAGTAATAGGTTCAGGGGCTTTCTCGGCTTCTTAACCCCCTAGCCTTCCTGGGCTTGAGTAGTAGGCGCTGTACCAATATCAAAAATGGGTTGGATGGGAGGGAGTAGGCCAATGACAGGCTGTTTAAGGTGGTCATATTTAAAAAGGAGGGGTATTTGTGACATCATTATTATACTCAGGGACATTAGCAGCACGAAAAAGGTTAGTAATTAGCTATGGGAGAATGATGCTATTAGTAAGTTTAGGGGTATTTGTGACATCATGGAGGACTGAGTAAATGGTGTCAGCTAAATCGAACGATTGGCCAGTCATGAGGAGGTAGATGTATAAGGCTTGGCGCTTAGGGACGTTAGTTAGGTGGGTGGTGGGTAAGATGTTGTTGCAAACCAAGTACAGCCAAGGACAAGCTTTAGGCCAGAATTTTGATCACTTGAGATAGAGTTTTACGGTAGGGGATAATGCCAACTTGCACCCTCATGACAGAGGGTTTGGACCACAGGGTTAAAAGGATAGTTCTGTTTATATTCCGTATAATGGCAATGACGACAAGATAAAAGATGGTAATGGTAGCAGATGTTATTAGTAGTAAAGGAGCGATCAACACGAACATTATGAAAATCAATGATGATGGAGCCATGAAATTGGGCATAAGTATAGAAATGGCGAACAAAGCCATCATTACCCATAGAATGCTATTGGACCAAACCAGTTAGTTGGGATGCTTGAAGTTGGCAGACAAAAGGGTTGTTTAAGGGTCTAAGGGGAAGGGTCGCTCCTTAAGGAGGGTCTCTGGTCAATTTTTTCATAAAGTTCTTCAAAGGCATACTCATCCCCAGAATCAGATTTAGAGAGGGGTGCAGGGTTCTTAGTACAGGATTTTTTCCTAAATTATATCACACACTAGAGCAATCTAAACACACACAGATAAGACAATGACAAAATCTACCCCAGAACAACCAAAATTAACAACTTATGCAATATCAAATGGTTATCTAATGATTCAAAGGTTTTCAAATAACCAAAAAATTTTAAAATTAGACAGAAAGATCACAAAAAAAAAACAAAATGCACTATGAATCATTAGATAACCTAAGGGCTACGCAACCTAAAACTGAAACAAAGAACAACCCAACCCAGCAACTAAATAAAGGAACTAAACAGAAAAACAAATAAACCTAAACCAGAACAAAGAAACCAGAAGAACAAAAGAGCAAAGGAAAGGAGA